TTTATTGTTTTAAGGGTTGGGTATGGGATCTGAGATCTGGCACTGCTTAAAAGATGTTTTGGCTTTTCTTTGTAACTAAGTTCTAGGCCCATGGAGTTTCTCCATGAGTATATTTTGTTACCTCCCTATCTAGTCATTATGTTTGCAACAGGAATATTGTTGTAATAATAAAGGTTCTTTCTTTTCTTTTTATTAACCTGGCAGTGGTTAATTGTGTGCCTTGATTTTTATTTTAGGGTTAAGATTTCCCAAATGATCTTTCCCCTGATTTCTTTATCAACATTTGGGTGGTGGCAGCGGAAGTTTTATTCCCAAGATCTAGGTTTTTAAGATCTTGGGGGGAAGTTTTATACCAAAGCCTGGTAGATAAGGCTTTGGGGTACACTTGCTGGCCCCCACTTCTGCATTTATCATGCCAGAGTGGGGAAGGAGCCATGACAGATGCTCCTTTTCCGGAAAAACTGAAAACGGAATAGTATTCCGCTTTAAGCATTTCCGGAAATTCATGCCAGTGTAGACACAGCCCTGGTGGACTGGAAACTCAGCAGATTTTCTTCTTGTGCCTCAGCTACTATAACCATATGACGGTGAGGAAGGCTTTGCTGCAGGAGGAGGCATGCTTCCAGACAAGCATGAAGACTGGCTCTGTCTGCTTGTGGTCATTAAAGATGATCTGGCACCTGACCCAGGAGCAGAATGGCTAGTTCCTGTGACATGATCAAATCCCATGTAGGTAATGACATTCTGCATGACTAAATATCACTCCATTGTTTCAGCTGGAGAAGCTTCTCTCTTCATTCCCTCGCCAGAATTACTGTGCAATGTTGCTGTGTGATGTTAAAAAAATCCTGCCTGTCACTTCAGAGATGGCTGCAGCTCACTGAGCAATGAAGTGATGTCTGCAGGTTCAGGTTCTGGCTACTTCAGGCCCCGTTCTACAAGCATGTGTGTAACTTTACTTATAGGACTGGTCTAGGGTTGCCAGGTGTCCGGTATTCACCCAGACAGTCTGGTAATTTCAGCTCCTGTCCAGTAAAAAAATTCAGAGAATACTGGAGACCTAAAATGTTGGGTATTTTCTGAATTTTTCCCCGGTCAGGAGGCGAAAATGACGGGCACCTGGCAACCTACAAACACTCAGCGCCCCCCCCCAGCTCCTCCGACTCCAGCCCCCATGCTTACCTGGTTCCCCAAGACTGCCAGCACAAAATGGCTGCCAGCCAAAAGACCTAGGGGAAGCAATGCTTTTCCCGGGGTCTTAGCGCTCAACCGCTCCCCTGTTCCTATCCCTGCACTCACTCTTAAAGGGGACATGCTGTTTTAATGCTGTTTTATTTTAAATTTTTTTTTGTCTTAATACGTCCTTGGAGTCCTTTTTTTTCTCAATAACTTTGGTCTCCCTCCCTTTTTTCCCCCCTTCAACAGAATTTTTTCCCGGTTTTTTTTTGGGGGGGTGGGTGTTTGGTATTTTTGTTTCAACCATCTAGCAACCCTAGACTGGTCCCTCTGAAGGCAGTGGAACTACTCACATTAATATAGTCAAGCATGCGTTTAACTGTTTGCAGGACCAGGGCCACTGAAACTGTTTTCTCTTCATCCTGTTTTCCAGCTTTAGAGATTGATACATGATACCTCCGAGGATAGCTCTTTTTCAGGGGGAGCATTCTTTTAGTACGAGTGACATTTTGCCAAATTAGACACATGGTGTTTTACATCTGCAAATCTGATGGCAGATTACAAGTGGCACATGACAGGTAAATCCAATAAAAATTAACCAGGTTCAGTTCTGGTGCTGCACACTCTCAGCTCCCTTTAACATCTGTGGCAGCTGAGGGCACTCAGCAATTCCTGGGATTAGGCTCTTGTGTTGCAAAATGCTTTGGGATGCGTGTGGATGGAAAACACTACACACATTTAACTCAGGATTATTATCACTGTGCATCAGAGACTGAATCACACTGGGGTGGCAAAGAGTACCCAATCAAAAATCAGGTCCAGTTGTGCTAGAAACTATGCACACACATAGGAAATCATGACCCCTGCTCTGAAGACCAGTCAGCTATTAAAACCACTGTATCTGAATTGAGTTACACAGTCATCTTAACCATATACAGTATGGGATATAGCCTCGTTTAATGTTGAAGGCTGGTTAAAAATGTGGTTACCATCACAGCAGATCTTTCAGTGAGGCTGTTGCTATATATTTTTTCTCCTATCACCCTGCATCTGCCTGTTTAGCTACCAATTCATGAGTAATGCTATCAACTTCTGAGTATTACACTTGAAACTCTTGGGTATAAATTACCATTACATCTAGTCATTTCAACTATGCTGTTTTTATGTTTAGGGTTTTTTTTTTTTCTCTGAGCTCCTGCAGTGTTCTTGCAAAGCTGTACAGCTTTACAAGCCCTCAAACATTTCATTTCCTAATTCCATCCCTGTGCTGGATTCACTGCATACAGATGTACTGATGATTTTTCCTTACACTGAAATACATGTCGACTTAGACTCCTCTAATAAAGGCAGGGAGAAAGTATTTGTAGCCTTCATTCACTTGCCGCTTTGCTTAGCAACACGGATCAGGATACATAATTCTCTGCATACTGCATGAAATATTCAATATATCCTTGTGCTGTTCACTACAGCCTGAACTGAGATTCTCTCGAGATATATAAGATTCTAATCATTTGATCAGAACTAATTTGCTGCAATATGCACCAGAATTATATTTTACATTATATTTCCTATCTAAATGGCCTGCTTGACAGCCATGCTGAAGCTTAGGAATGTGGAATAAGTTACATGGCAACCTCACATAGGCTATGTCTAGACTGCAAGCCTCTTTTGAAAGAGGCTTTTTCGAAAGATACTTTTGCAAAAGCCTCTTTTGAAAAAGAGCATCTAGACTACAACCAGTACTTTCGAAAAAGCAAGCCACTTTTTTGAGAGAGAGCACTCAGGCTGTCTGGATGCTCTCTTTCGAAAAAGCACAGTTTGCATTACATAGTGCCTTTTTTCAAAAGAGCACTTTCGAAAAAAGGCGTTATTCCTCGTAAAACGAGGTTTTCCACGGTCGAAAAAACTGCCGCGTTCTTTCAATTTACTTTTGAGAGAACGTGGCAGCAGTCTAGATGCAGGGGAAGTTTTTTTAAAAAAACAGCCACTTTTTTCGAAAAAAAAAAAACCTTGTAGTCTAGACCGGTGTTTCTCAAACTGTGCTCTGCAGAGCCACAGGGCTCTGCCAGACGTCTCCAGGGGCTCCGCAAGGTTGACAAATTGGAAACATCAATAGGTACAACACACACAATCAGTGGACCACTGGGGCTCCACATAAATTTTTACGCATGTAAAGGGCTCCGGAGCCCAAAAAGTTTGACAACCGCTGGTCTAGACACACCCTCTCTCTACATGCCAACATTAAACCTACTTGCTTGTTCCTCAACTGATTTCTGTGCAGCTCTTTCTGCCGCCGTGTCTAACATCAGTTGAAGCTAAAAGGAGCAGATGACAGAGAAGACACAGTGCTGTTACTTTAAAAGTGTGTGTCTCCCCTATGTTGTAGCAAGAAGCCCTACTAAGAAGAGGCCATGAACTCAGAACCAATTTAAGGATGCCATTTTAAATGTACAATGTCTAAGCATAGGCACCCAATATTTTATTCAGAAAGCTTGATTTTCTATTGGAAAAGCAAAAGCAGAGGAAGAATGCAACTTGATGGGCTCCCACTGTAAATGTAAAAAAATATGCGGCTAGCCTGCTTGTTCATCTTAGCACCCTGAGGGTATGTCTTAGTTAATTCGAACTAAGCTAATTCGAACTAACGCATCTAGAACTAAAAACTAGTTCGAACTAGCATTTTGCTAATTCGAACTAGCGCGTCCACATTAAGTGGACCCTGAACCAGGCTTAAGGATGGCCGGAAGCAGTGCCGGCAGGGCATCACAGGAGGACTTAGAGCGTGGAGATGCTGTCTCAGGCTAGCCGAGGGCTGTGCTTAAAGGGTCCCGACCCCCACCCCGGAGAGATAGTTCTCAGGGTGCCCCGCTTACAAACCAGTCCTGGCTTGGATTGCCCGGAGTACCCACACTGGGCACATCACAGCACTCGGCCATCAGACCGGCTGCACTTGCCGCAGGCTGCCATTCGGGGGGAGGGGTTAATTGGGGGGCTGCAGGAGAGCTTCCACCCCCAGAAGCCCGCAGAGCCAGCCCAGTCCTCCCCATCGAGGGTGCTTACCCCATTCCTCCCTCACCTCCTTCCACTTACCCTTCCCTAGCCCCCCTTCTTATTGATGTACAAAATAAAG